CCAAGAGTTGGGATCTCGGAGCCCGTCCCATCGCCGGCGCTTTCAACAGGCAGCTGGGGCACCGACTGCCACGCTGGCTGGGAACGCGTTGCAGTCAGAGCTCTTCCCACCTCTGGGAAGGATTTGCAAGCTGAGGATAGGATTTTTTTATTGCGGGGCGAGCGAGCCCTTCCTTGGGGAGAGGAAAGCCCTTCTGCTATCCCAGGCCACGCTCTCCCTGAGCAGAAACGCAATCGCTGCTCCAGTTTTCCAAAGGAATGGGTAATTTGGGGGAAAAAAGGCTGCACCTACCTCTGAGCTGCAAACACAAAGCTGTGTGGCAGACCTCATCGCAGCACAGCAGGGTTCATCAGTGCAGCGAGACTTTGGTGGCTTTCTGCTCCTCACCTGGAGAGCTTCAAGCATCAGAACGGTCCTTCGGGGCTTTGATACTTCTTCTGCCTTTGCAACTTGTGTGTCAAAACTCTTCGGAGAGCCCCACTACTTGCAAGTCTTCTGGAAATTCGTGCTTTCGTAGCGTGTGAGCCCCTGGGGAGACATGAATCTTTCAGAGGCTTCATGCAAATAAAATGCAGCATTTTACAGTCTTGGGCGTAGCCTCAGGTTTCTCAGTTTTTTCCTAACAAAGTACTGATTTTCTGCTCTTGCATTTATTTCTTTTAGTAAAGATTTCCAGTTCATATTTGGTACAGCTCTGTACAACCAACATAATCCTATTTTCTTACTACTTAACCAGATAATCAAGATGCCAAAAGCATTTCTGTGGCTTAGGAATTCCCTTATTTTCTGCCTTAAAATTCTAATTGCAGTCATGTATGAACCTCTGGTTTATAACACAGACAAACGTGATTTAGTCCCCGGGAAAAAAGAACACGGGAACGCATGCAGGGAGACTCATTGTCATTTGGAATAATAGTAATATCATGATGTTTAGATCATTGTAGCAAAGATGGAAGCTAGAACTGCTCTGTGTTCAGTAAAAAAAATAAGACTCTGAGCAATTTCCAGTTTTCTGCCTCCTGGAAAGGGGCACAGGCAGACTTGTCCCACTCCTTAGCTGTGGAGCCTACGGATATCTTCGAAGCAGGGGCAGGGAGAGGAGCAGGACTGGGTTGTGCTTACCTATGGTATTATGCATCAGAGAATCCAAACCAGGAGAGGACTGAGCACCTTGAGGCTGTTGAAAACAGAGTGGCTGCTGACTGCAGGGAAGCGTTGGGTATTCTTACCAGCCGAGGGCGAGCGCCATGCCATCGCTTTGTTTCCAACGTAAAGATAACCATCTTTAAACGCTGCTTTTCTCTTTTCCCCGCAGGTAAATATGTCTATCAGCCCATGACACCCGTAGAGCAGCTTCCCAGCACCGAAATACCCGTTCGCCCCCGGGAGTCTACGAACACCATCCAGATCTCCGTTTCGCTCACCGAACACTTTTTGAAGTTTGCGCCCGTCTTCCAGCCCCCTCTGCCCCCCGACTCCCCGCAGTTCTGCACAATCGCAGACCTCTTCATTGACAATTACCGCGTGAAATGCATCAACGGGAAGATGTGCTACGTACAGAGGCAGCCTCCCCCCCCGCCCCACAAGGGGAAGCCCGAGGAAGTCCCCGTTCGCAATGCCTTAATCACAAAAGAGAGCAATACGCCAAAAACCGATCACTGCTCCTCCCCTTCCAGCTCCGAGGACTCCGGCATCAATGCGGTGGGGGTTCACTACGTGGAGTCGTGTGACGAGGACACGGAGGGGGTGGCCGAGCTAAGTTCAGAAGAAGATTACAGTCCGGATAGCAGCTGGGAACCAGACGAATGCCCGCTCTTGTCACCCTCGCAGTGCGAAATGGAGGTGATTGAGACTATAGAAACCACTGTGTGATCCAGTGAGTTGGTACCAGATCAGTCCAGTTCCCACTCAGTAACGTTGCTTTTGTAGTATTTATATTTTCTGTTTTTTTTTTCTGACAATCCCTTTTTTCCAGTGCACTTGATATTTCGGATTCCTCATGGGAGTGCGGTCAGGGGACATGCGTGTTGGTGAACTAGCAGCAGCCGGAGCAATTTTAACATGTTCTCAGCCTGATCAGATCTCCCACGTCTACAAGTAAGGTAGTGAGAAATCTTTAGACTTTTATAGCTGAAATAGGCCCTTTTCTTGGTCTGGGTTACATCATACACCACTTCTCATGCAAGGACGCGCCACTCGAGATGTTTCCATCTGTCAGGATGTTTGCAGTGGGCCTTCCAAGCACAGAGGGTGAGCTGGTGCAGCACACCCGCCAGCAGCACAACCAAGTTGCCCTTATCCTGTCTCAAATGGTTGCGTGAGGCACGGCGACGAGAGGCTCTTCCCGTCTCCGTCCTTGCGCGTTGTCCATCCTTTCCTCTCGTGCTGGTGCGACCCTTCCCGAAGGCTGTCGGCACCGCTC